TGATCCTTGTCAGTTCTTTGGCTACTGCTGTACACTGGCTAGAATGAACCGCGCAGCCGTGAACCCAGCCCGTGGCTACATTATTACTTCTTTCAAGCCTACAAATTTTGGTGATGAAAACCACCCACCCACAAAGAAGAACAACAGCCGCGAACGTTCACCGAAGAGCCCAAGGTTTCCAAAAGACACCATCAAGGTATGTTGTTGTACCGTACCGGTAGTGCATCCACGAGAGTGTGCACGCTTATGAAGGAGCAATGTTCTCATGTCCTTCAAATGTGCAGCCACGGCTGCCGAAGAAGAAGAAAAAACGGACAGAACATGTGTTTCCTGGATATCGAAGTCATGTGGTTTTACAATGTCAAGGTCAAAGGCAATAGATGCTGTTGGATCTGCATCACCAGACATGCGGAGCTCGTCTAAGTAACGCAGAAGTCCAACGATAAAGTCTAGGAGCGAGAGCTCTGGATTCCGTCAGAGATAGCTCCAACAGCTATGCTGGCCTACAGCTCCAGCACCCGCAGCTGGCTTATCTCCAGCCAAAGCAGCAAGAAAGGATCGTCCTTTCCATCATAGTTAAGAAAATAGTACGAAAGATTGAGACCGATCCTGATTAGCTTGTAGCCCCTTTGATACCGCAGCAGTTGATACCAATCCTGTTGAGGCCGGGCAGAAGCAGTAGGAGGTAGCAGATAGTACTGTTCCCAGACTGCCACTGCACGATTGAATAACGAAGGCTCCCAGCTCCTGAGGAGAGCTGGCCCTCCTGTCTGACTGACAGGACCAAGTCCTTGATTTGGGTGCCTACTGGAGGTGTTGGAACACTCCTGAGGCACGACAAGGCTCCCTGAACTGCCTGACTACCGCTGTCCCTGAGGAAGGGTTTCAGCGAGATCCAGTCCACTACTTGGGTATTGGAACTGATCCTTCAAGAAACTTATTGTCCAAGGTCCATTGGACATCACGCCCAAGAAGTATCTTTTGGATCAGCTCTCGCCTCGTGGAGCATCGAGGACCTGAGCGACGGCTTCGAAGTGGCCCTCAAGTCAGTGCAACGGCAGATCCCTGGCTCTGGAGGTAGCCTATTCGAGTCACGTGATCTATTCAACGTGAAGTTGACATAATTCAAAGCTCATAACTCTGGTACGAACGCATCGTTTTGGGCCAACAACATAATGTAGAGGAGCACCGAGAAGACTTCTTCGCGACATGTGATCCAGTCGAAAATGGTTCAACAATCGAGGTCTCCTGCCACTGATGACGTTTTGAAGAAGAGCGCACACCTCGCTGTGCCCCATGAGTGTTTAGTGGGAGCGGAAAAGGAAAGGTCAAAGGGGTCAGCCCTGTCGTGCAAGCACCTGTGACGCTAGCTAGATCTGCTGCTTCTCAAGTTTATGGGAAAAGTTTCTAATCAACTGTTGCTAGACCCGACAATGCCGTTGTCATCCAATGTCGCAATGATGGGTTGGTTCCCGGAATACGCCGATCCTAGTAGCAAGTGATGCCATCCTTGTAGATGCAACAGTGGACGGTTTGTTAGATTGGAAGCAATTTTGCTATTTTAAAAAACACATGCTGTACAAAATACCATTTGGATAGAATATCATTTGGATTTGAATTGTATTATTGGCCAAAACCTCTACTGTACAACTTACTGTCAACCCAACTGCATAAGGCTTATTCCATGCAAGAATGAATGGAATTAAAGATTTCTACTGTAAATGAACCTTTAGTATTGTTAAGTCCTATCCATAGATATATTCAATTTTCTGATTATTTTCATCAATTAGAATAATATCGAATCCATTGGATTGAACATTCAAAATTACATGAATAAATGAAATGAATGATTCAGCCAAAATGGGCTACAGCTTGGCACCTTAGATTGGAAGAGAGTTTATCTATTTTCCAAATCATTTAAAGAATTTACATATTTAAATACCATTTCGATAGAATACTTTTGATTTGAATTGTATAATTGGCCAAAACTACTACTGTACAATTTACTGTAACCCCAACTACATAAGGCTTATTCCCTGAAAGAATGCCTGGAATTATAGGGTTCTCCTGAAATTTCACCTTCAGTCTTGTTAAGTCCTATCCATTGATTTACTACAGATCCCAGAACAACTGACCAAAAACCCGTCGACCACTTTTTTCACCCGTAGTTTGAGTTTTTTTCCTTGTTTTCGTAGCAGTCAAGTAGAAAGTGTACTGGTAAGAACATTGGTCTGATCACACAAAACTCAAGAACTGGCGAATAAACGGTATCAGTACGGTAGAAGAAGAGGCACGAATGACCTCTGAAAAGAAAACTCTATTCTTGCCCCTAAACTCACGTAGAAAGTGTACTGAATTCTACTGAGTTCGGTTTACAGTTTTTTTTCTGAAATCATGGGTGAAAAAAGTGGTTCACGGGTTTTTGGTCAGTTGTCCTGGGATCTGTAGTATTCAATTATCTGATTATTTCCATCAATTAGATTAATATGAAATCCATTTGATTGAACATTCAAAATTGTATGAATATATGAAATGAACAATTCAGCCAAAATGGAGTAAAGCATGCTGGGATAGATTGGAAGCGATTTTACTTTTTTTACAAATAAATTATAGAATTTACTTGTTCAGTTGCCATTTCGATAAACTTTATTTGGATTTGAATTGTGTTATTGGTCAAAACTGATACTGTACAACTTACTGTATACCCATTGCCTAAGTCTTATTCCATGCAAGAATGCCTGGAATTAAAGGGTTCTCATGCAAATCCACCTGCGTTTTGGTTAAGTCCTATCCATTGATTTATTTAATTTTTTGATTGTTTCTATCAATTGGAATAATAACAAATCCATTGGAAAAACCAGCAAAAGTACATTAATCTGTAAAATGAACCATTCAGCCAGAGTGGGCTACAGCTTGGCAGGTTAAATTGGAAGAGACTTTCCCTTGTTTGCGGCTCATTTGTAGAATTTACTTAACCATTCACCATTTTGATAAAACATATTTGGATTGATTTGTTTTATTGGTCAAAATGCCTACTGTACAATTTTATGTGTAACCCACTGCAGAAGTCTAATTCCTGCAAGAACGCCTGGAGTTAAAGAGTTCAGCACCCATCTCTCACACACACACGATGTGACATAAGTCGCCACGGAACACGGAAGAAGAGCAACACCCAGCCAGTGTCCGGACTGTCAACATAATGAAAACAGTCGGAGAGATAAAAAGAAAGATCAAATCTATAAGAACGAACGATGAGGTTTGTGACAAGGGTCGTCCAGACCATGGCATCTGTGGCTACAGTTTAGTTTGGATGGTACTGTAATTGGCAGTGGTAGCAGTATTGGTGATGGTGTAGAAGTGGAACTGGTAGATGGCATGTACTGTCATGCCGATTGAGGGTGTGGCTCCGTCGTTCCAGGAAACAACGTTGGATCAGGCGCTTGCGGCATGGAATGGCGGAGTCGACGCGTTGGACATCCTTTGCCCTGGCCCTCAATGACACAAGGATCTCACAGAGTCCATGAAGGAACACATTGCCAACTCGATGCGTGTCCTCGAAAAGGCCAAGGAAATTGCCTTGGATGTTCAGGAGACCAGGCGTCTCCATCAGCTGACTGGCGACCATCATCGGCATACTAACACCAACACCAACAACGAAGAGATTGAAGACTCAAATCCGTGCCCAGGGGCACGTTCACTCATCACCCAAAAGTGACAAGAAGAAGAAAACGACAAGATAAGAAAAAACGTTCTCCCCCCATCCTCAGGAGCAACACCCAAGGCTCCGCCATTTCCTCCAGCACCATGAGCGCATTTACAATGGAGACGCCTCGGATCTCACCCATGTGGATTCCTGCCGTATTATTCATCCAAAAATCCTCAAAGCAACCGCCGTCGCCTCTCAACCGCTACAACTGGAGCCAATGACAATTGCGGCAGCCTCGTCCAGTGCCTCCGGGGGTGGACGCTCTACGACGCCATTACCCCCCTTCTACGATGATATCACAAAAAATGGAGACGTTGTCGCCGCCACTACCAATTACGACTCGAGCCGAGCGATATTCTCGCAAAGGCTCAGCAAATCATAGCGGCACCTCCACGCTCCACTTGGCCGCCAAGTGCAACAACTTGCAACGCCTCTTTTACACAAGTCACACGAGAAGGATGACTACACAGGTACGTTGGTTTCTGTATTGATTTGATTAGCCCTCCTCTCTCAAAACCACAGCCAACTGTATTGTCGATTTTATATTCTCACCGCCTCCTTTCATTTTTCAATTCCTCAGACTCGTGGAAAGAAGTTTGCCGGGCCAAGGGGGCTACACGATATGTCAAGTTGGAGGCTATTGCACAAAAGTTAGGCAAGAAGAACGTTGAAAAACTTGTGCTTTCCAACTTTGCTACCTGCTCGTCCCAAGTTACTCGAGGAAGCAACATCGTTGTGATATCCACAGGGATCCCAAAACTTCCTACCGCTCAGTCCGCTAGGAGTGGATGTGTTTGGGAAACTTCAAGACCCCGATTAGCCATTCGTGGTCAAGACGGACGGTGGTGTGCACGGCCGGTTCGATGCATGGCAGCCTTTGCCACGTATTTCCGATTTGGGATCACTCTGCAAGAATGAAATCAACCTGCATTACAAGCAACTCATGACGAAGAGCACGAGTCCCATCCTTGCAAGTGGAGTGGACAGTCGTCGGTATCCCGACGTGATTGTTCGTTGGAACTGCCGCAGAGGAAGACAAAGAATCCACATTTTCATGGGTACGTAACTTTGGGTCTGTTGCTGTGAGTGCTATTGCTATTGATTGGATTAATTCTAATCACGACGGCTCTATTGGCTGTTCTCCATTCCAAAGGAGAGAAAGTGTCGAACGGATTAGGTCTGCGCCCACAAGGAGCCCCCGGCAAGCCCTCTTTGACCAGTACCGGTAGACTAGACTCACGCACGAGCGAGTCAATTGCCAACACGTGTGCTTGGCTCACCTCTGACAATGATCATGGTCAACAGGTTTGTTGCTTCGACACTGCTGGAACGGACTGCATTGACAGGAAGTGGGATCCAAGGTGATCCTCTGGTTCCAGCTCGAGTGAATTCTCTGTGGCTTCTCTCGAAATCGTTCTCAATCAGACCTCTTCCTTCTCTTGGCCATAAAAGTTCAACAGTGAACTGGGCGAAAAAAGTTGCAAGTAAGCGAGCCTCTCGAACTTGGGCTGGGGCTCAAATCACTTTCCATTCATTCTCACTGATGCGCCGTTAATATTTTTAGGAAACTCGGCCCAGCGTTGTCGGGTAAGACCACCTGTGAGATGAAACGGGGGCAAATTGGGTCCAATCCTAAAAGTTGATCATTGCAATGGGTTTAGGTTTCAGTGAGAAGAGCTATAAAAAAAGTGTACTCCGGAACGTATTGTCCTGCTCCACGGGATTGTAAATCACTGAAGGGCTGCATTGCTAGTGAAACCACTTGGGCGGACGACAAGAACAAGCATGTCGATAGAAGGAACGTCGACGGCGCACCAGAATTGAGGATACCAAGGAACGCGAGTGCGGCGAGGTAAGTCGTCTTGGCTGATCCAGCACATATGCGCTGAGGTTCCTAACGCCTAGATGTTTCTTCTCAACAACAGGCTCGCTAGTATTTCGGATCGGATTCGACAGTGCACACCCAGGTACGGTACGTGGAGGACCTTTTGTGTCATGCCCATCACAACGCCGTCTTGATGGTACGGTAGCATGCCACTCACGCATCGCTTCTCTGTGCTCCCCCCAGATGACGACGAGATAAAGTACGGTACAGTGCTGCTCCCTCCCCATTAGAACCCCATGGCTCTTAACAGGGAAGCTCACGGTCCCTCGCCCCCAACGATTGTAGTTTGCAATGACAGTGCGCTCTTGCGCAACCACAGGTACGGTAGGAGCGCACAACCAATGATGCGCCTTTATCGACTGCACGCTCATTCCTTGCCTCTTCAAACTTCGCACACATTGCTCAAGCGACGATAGGCCCCACCGAAACTGCCGAGCTTGAAAACCGCAGAAACGTAATCAAACACTCCGCGATTGTCAGAGCAAAGGTCTTGCGAAGAGTCGAATGATTCAAATGATCTCACTTCCTGCCTTGCCACCGGCGCGAAGCCGAACAAGCAAAAAATAACCGACGGTTACATCAAGAGTATAAATCAAAAGATATACCATTACCATCAAACCCTATCTACGCTAGAGGAGCTCAAGGACGCCATTGGTAAGTAAGCAAGTGCGGTTGGGGTGCCCATGTTGCGGACCGTTCGATTCAAAAAACAAAACATACCATGGAATGTGGAGGTGGGCCCTACGCGGAGGTTGTGAGGGCGTAAGTGTCTTCTGGTTAGAACGTCACAAGTGCAAGGTACTAATGTAAATCTCTTGTCCACAGCTCAAGAACCCATACGTCATGATCATGAATGCGGCGCTCTTTGCGACTCAGAGGGTATGTTTTGAGATGAAAGAATTCAGATCGACGATCCACACCACTCACTTCCTCGGTCGCCTTCAAATTGGTTAGATTTACGATAACATCGTGTTCTACTAAATGTACGACTTCGACGACGGCATCTCGGACTTCAACATGAACGAGCAGCAGTTGAAACACTCCTTGCATACCATCTTTCCTCACATGCTTCCGCCTTTTAATCTGTGGAATCTTAGGGGGTCATGGTTGTGAACGAGAATCAAGCAATTCTGCAAGAGAACCGGGTGGCGCTTCAAAACCAGGTACGATATTTCGTGCCACACACGTTACAAATCCATCACGATGGCATAATATGCGACTCACATTCCGCTTGTTGCATGATCACCCAGCTTTTCACAACGAATACCTACGTTCTCACAGGCAACACGGACAAGAATCTCCAAAAGGAATTCCCGAAATTGTCCAGCACAACGACCGACATTCGCACTGAGCTCAACGGGAAGTTGAATATTGACTTTGGCGACCTGAATGATGCAGTGACCAAGTTGAAGAGCGAAACGTAGACGACAATTGCAACACCTGCAGCAGTCTCAGCACCCGATTTCTTGAGGAGGAGAAGGAAGGTGCTCTCAGTTCCGCAACAACAGCCCACCTGCGAAAGTACGCTGGATGTGATGGGTACGATTCGGATAATGTTGGGATCATTGACAATTGTGGCGAGGACGCAACTCCTCCTGAGATCAAAGTGTCTGAATCAAGGGGTTTCCGAGGTCACGGCGGCCAGTACAAGGTGCATGGACAGCTCTTCCAGAGCAGCTCGTCAGCTCTCTCGTTCCTTCGAAAAAGCTTGACAGTTGATGATGACTGCGCCAAGTCGGATGATCTCGATCTTCCCCTCGAGGTGGTGGAGACTGGCAATTGCGGCATCTCGGTGGATGCTTATCCCATTCATGTCAACCATTCTTGCGATGGAAAGAACCAAACTGGAGCCGTGAACCACTTCCAAATGGACGTGGATTCAGATGCCCCCGAGATTGCTTGCGGCTTTGCTGCGTTTTCTTCATCATTGGCCATGTCGGCGGACGGAAAGACGATGCTTGTCGAGGAAGACGACGGCAAGCTGTTTTCATCTGGCTTCTTTTACAGTGTCTCGGTACGTACTCTTTCTTTCTTGAATTCGTACAGTAGCAACGAGTTTTCGATTCGTATGCGATTGTTTGTGTTTGTTTGTGCGTTTGCATCTTTCAGGAGTCTTGCTCGGACTCGTCGACGTGGTCGTCTCAATCGAGACGAATGCAAGGGATCGAAAGCCAATGGCAATCTTGGCAAGAACAGTCGACGATGCGGTTCCGAAGGTGTCGATTTGGTGTTCAAACGCTCCAGGTATGCTTAATCTACATTGGTCTGCTTGCTAACTATCCAGCCAGCTGTCGAATCTGCCCTGCCCTGCCTTGAATCATCTAACCGTGCTTGGCTTTCTTGCAATCTTTGTTTGTTCTTGCATCTTATTATAATAGCTCTGCCAAGGGCATCCGCACGTACGACATCACAGTGAGTGCCACCGATGCGGCCGGTTGGACATCGAAGGATACTTGCAGGATTCTGGTGGTGCCAAAAGCGGAGCAAGAAGGGCGCGAACGGAGGTGTGGTCGATGCTTTTCCGAGACGAACAAATAATTCAAGCGCTCGCAACAAGCGCCGCCAAGGCTTGGTTCCCCGTTGGAACTGTTTCCCTTTGCTCGGCGCTGTGAGAACCCAAAAGAAATGATTGAAGGATGCCAATGCTATTGTAAATCCTCAGCTATTGCTTGCTAGCTACCGGTAGCTATTTGTGGTTGGAATGGTTGATTCTCAATCTTGCAGGCTGTTGCATCTTCTAAATACCGAGGAGAGTTGGATCTTCCTATCACGCAAGCGCGCCAGACATTTTTGTTCAGAGCGTGCCAAACACACTGGATTTCTTGACCAACACGATCATCTGGCTCTGCTGCTTTCTAGATGCTGACGTAATCGTATCGTATTTCCCTTGACACGTGGAACAATGAAATCTTCTATGGCCTTCCACAAAATGCCGTTGACGCCAATCCTTGGACCGACGAAGCCAATCCATCAAAAGCACTGCTCGGAGTTGCATCTTCCAAGCTCCATATCTTCATTTTCCTTTCCATCTTCTCCATTTTTTAGAACGACAACCCAGCCGACAAAGCCACTACTAACTTGCTAGCTAGCTATTACAATGATGAGATCTTCCTTGCTTTCCTTGCTCTTTGCGGGCATTCTGTCCATGGCCACTGCATTTGTCGTCCCTTCTACCACCCCTGCTCGTTCCAGTGCTACTTCCCTTTTTGCCAAGTACAAGACAATGGATGAAATCTTGGCACTGTTCCCGGAAGACAAGCCCGTGTTGATTAATTTCTACGATGCCAATACGGAAGGCGCCATTAAAGATGACATTTTCAAGGCCAAGCAATTGCTCGAAGATCGAGCCAAGTTGGTCAGCATCAAGCAACAAGATTATCCCGATTTGGCCAAACTGTGGGATGCCGCAGAAAAAAGTCCCTCCATGATCTTGTTCAAGGATGGAAGTCCCGTGACGAGACTATATGAGGTACGTATGGTTTGTCAAACAGTTGTACTTGTCACGAAAATGTTGTCTTGTGTCACTCAACTCTTTTTCTGCCTTTGTCTTTCACTCTTTTTACCTGATAGAAAACTGACTACTTGGACGTGGTGGCTCATGTGGGAAGATTTTGCAGGGATGAATAAGCAATCAAGTGAATTGAATTAAGCCCACGTCGTCCTGCTGAATTGCTAGCTAGTCGAGTTGCAACGGAAAAAAGAAACAATAATCACGGTTGAAAAAGAACGATAGAACCAATCTGCCTCTCCCCAAAGGTCAGGGACGAAATGACTGAACACAACTAACTCTCGCTACGACAATAAATACTAGTTCCGGCAGGTCCATAAAATTATGCAATTAGCTTCCAGCACGGCTTTAGTTTGTAGGATTCTTGTGTGAGCACTGGAGATGAAACTAGCTACCGGTACCTGACCCTGGGACAGCATAATATGATCGGGGTAGCTTTGTCCACGAGGAGAGCACACGAATTCAAAGACCCGTACATTCCTGTCTATCATGGATGTCATAGGCTTGGAGACAAAGTTCACGATTGGAACTATTCATTCGAGACGTTCAATATCAGAGTGACTAAGTTCATATTACAAGAAAACTGGCTGGAAACCTGGTGAAAGGCAGCTCATTGCTTTCTTGCCTGCCTTTGTCCAACCGCCTCAAACTAGAAGTATCGTGTGGCACCCTTTGCCGTGCAGACTTCTCTCCATCAATATTGAGTGTGCTTTTGATTTATTCTTATCAAGTTTGATTAGTCATAGCTGTTCAGATATATATTTGCCATGATGTCTCCGTGTTCATTGATTCAAGAAGAAGTTGAGCAGAGGTTTGCAGAACAGGACATGGCTGACAGTGACACAATCCTCATTCACTCCCACTGCAACCTACCGTAAACTCCCCGCATGAGGACTGGACGGAAATGCCATCAGCAGACTAAGTAGCAACCACATTCATTTTTGGCTAGAAAATGCTTTTTGAAAACCTTGAAACTCTAAAAGTAGTTGTGCTTTTTAAATTTGGCCACACAGTTAGCTAGCTAGCTTCGTGCCATGCCATACCAAACGAGCTTAACGCCGTCGTGGTATCCGCTGCACACCGGCAGGCAGGTGATTTCCCAAAAGATCCTCCAATTGTTGGGCGCTGGGTCGACTGTGAGGATTCTGTTCCCAGCACCACTTGATGGCCGTGACCATGGTCCGTACCAAAGGATCATTGCTATGAGTGTAATCCTGATCAATGTTGATGCGTGGTCTCTTTCCATGTTCCACCATTCGTTTCATGGTCTTGGTTTCCGTGTCGGAATCCATATCATCAAAGGGAAAGTATCCCGTCAACAACGTGTACAAGACATTGCCGAGACTGTACACATCCAGTTTGGCCGTGAGTCCTACATCGGCATCATTGTCCATGTATTCTTCCGGGGCCCGCAACTCTCCTCCATTGCCATCCGTGTAGACGGGACACACGTGATCATGACGGGCATTCCAGTAGGGAAACCGTGCCAGATTGAAATCTCCCAATTTGAAATGCGGCAACTTGCGCGATGCACCGTCCCGATTCTCCGGTTCGAGACTGGTCCAATCGACGGGTGTCACCGCCACGAATTGATCCGTTTTGAAATCGGCATGGACAATGGCCGGAGGTCGATGGGATCCTTCTGTTGTATGAACATCCGTCAATGCAACCGTGGCATTGTACGCCAATTTGAATCGCTCTTCCATACTGTAAAATTCCACAAACGCCTGCGGCGATCCAAATTCTTTAATGAGCATTTCCAAATCTCCTCCAGGCGCCCACTCGTACAAGGCAGATGTCCCACAGTACGCGTACATGTGAATGGCATGGCGGGAGAATTGGAGGCGATCGCTCGTGACGGAATCCCTCCGTTGCTTGTCCAACAAATACTCCGTAACATCGTGCTGGTATTGCATCGTTTTAAAGGCAATGGGCTCCAATTTCGTGGCAGACTTGGTGTAGGGAATGCCACGATGGTGCCGACCGGGCATGGGCGATTCCATCACCCATGTGTCTCTCCAGTAACCACTGCCCAGCATTTCATAGTGACTGTCTGCAGCATCGCCATCGTCACCATGTCGTTTGTTCGTAGCGACCAGAGGCGGTCGCAACTGCCTCCGTTGCATCCCCCGTCGGTGTGGATAGGAATGCGTAGAGTCTTGCGTAAAAAGGTCCATGATTGGCTTGACATACATGCGATCACTCGCCATGGTGAGCTCGTGCATCTGATTGCAGGAAGGATAGGTTTGTGTTTGCCAGTCGTACTGGGGCTTGCATTCATCTGGATCAGGCGTAGATTCGGGTTTTTCATCTTCGTAGCTCTCGGATCCCTCCGCAATCGAGTCCAATTTCTCCGACAAGGGTTTGACGGGAAGGATGAGATGACGGTGATGTCTATCATGATGATGTTGTACACTATTATGATGGAACGAGCTGTGCTGCAATCTCTTGTCCAGCAATTCCAACCACTGTTGGTGAGTGGTGGGCACTGGAATGGGGTGAACAACTCCCGAGAATGAATCTGACTCCACTCCGTGAAAAAACATTCCCACCATGGCAGGTTTCGGGCCGTGATGAGAAGACTGTGCATCTACTAGTAGAGAGAGAAAAGAGGAAGATGTGGTATGAAACGAGAGCATTGCAGCCACCAATAATAGCAAGATCATAGCTCCCTGCACCACCACCAAGGGTATCCGTCCCGTCAAAAACCAAAGGCGCATCTGATCCAACAAAGACCGTTGTTGATGATGCATCCGTTTGCTGCCATTCTTGGAAGGACTTGATGTAATAAAATAGCCTCGGCGGTTGCCTAGCTCGTCATCCGAGTCATCCGACGACTCTTCATAGGGGCGAAGGAGAATGGCAGAGGGCGTCCCATCAAAAGAGGGTGCAAAATTGCGGCGGGATGTTGGTCCCTTGTTACTACTGGATTGGAACTTGACCATTTTGATCGACTTTTTGCGTGAGGATGATAATGCTGAACTGGCTAGCTACAAACTCAACTCCATTCCGATGACTTTTAAAAGTGTGATGGCTTGGTTGCACACTCTCTTGGTTGGCTTTGTATTGGCTTGTTGTTGTTTGTTCTCAATAAGAAGGCTCCAGCAAAATGAGAAATTTCGGCCGTGCTGCGGAAGTGAAAGAGGGGGGAGAGGATCCCACCTCGTGCCTCCTGCCAATGCGCACCTCCCATCATTTACGCGGGAGATTTGATTTCAAACTGCACGCGCAGAGGGCTGTTGCTCGCCATTTTTTGGTTTCTCTGAAACATCAAGATGATGCTGATGCATGACGTTCCAATGATGTCATCCCTGGGTAGGATGTTTGGCAAGATCTATCTATGCATAATATGTACCTGTGGCAATAGCAGCATCCTCTACATTTACCTGCCTGCCTTTCATAGGTTGAGAACAGCCAAGAAGGTTTGCTGAAAATACTTCAGAGTTTCAACCACAAGGCTTGGACTAGAACAGAAACCAAAGCATCGCTCAGGTGACAACGGTGAGCAACAGTTTGGGGCTGAAACACATCAGAATCTGGCTACAGGTACCGTACGCACTTTTTGAGCTCTTTTTTCTAAAGCATCTCTTCATCCGCGTCGTCGCCGTCGCAGCCAAAAGTTGGTCTTTTACGTCATCCCTGCAGATGCCGGTACCGTACCGGTATCAGCTCGCTCAGTACATCCAAAAGTCTATCGGGAATCCTCGATCTCGTGTCCATTCCGCCCTTCAATACGAACATAAAAGTCAACGTTCAAAGCACCACTCACTCATTGGCTGCCTTGTCACCATGGCCTGGTACTGTATTCCTTTGCTCGCTTTGCTTTTGACAACCGCCTCTATAGCCAGCTTGCCAGTAGTCTTCATTTCGAAGCACGGCAACCAGTGAATGTATGCATCTCAGGCAGCCGATACACTTCTTTGCTTGCTGCGGACGAGTGCAGCAAGGTACGGTAGACCGTACAGATAGTGCTAGGGACACAAAATTTTTAGAATCAAAAAGCTGCTAACGCATCCTGCAAGAATGATCCAGATGGTTCACACTTGTTGGCAAGGGGAGGTACGGTACTAGATCGCATTACTAGAAGTAGTCTAGCTCGTAAAAGACTACAACATGCATTGTCACTTCTCGCGTTTGCCACTTCGGGCGTCACCTCTGCAACTAACTGGGTCGCTCGAAGCTAAACAGCAACGCTTGGAGCAGCGCTGGGTGGCTCTGAAAAACTCTGCAAGTTGATGTTGAAAAGATCTCCACCTCGAGGGTATGTCTCGGGCAAGTAACATAGTTGCTCCGCAGCCTCCTGCTGTTCCATCGTCAAGTCCGCAAACGACATGCTATCGGTGGCTGGAGGTGGAACGATGTCATGCCACGACGCAAAGGTCCAGTCAAGGGTCAGAAAGTAATCTTGGACACCTGAATTTGAGCAAGACAAGCAAGAAACAACGTTGAGTGAGTCCCCTACCGTAGCTATCGTGTTGCAAGCAACCATCCTCTTTTGTGTTTAGTTCATTCATCTTGAAGAAAGGGGGAGGTGAGTACGTACCCAAAGCTTGCAACTGATTCCAACCACGGTTGGAATAGTGCTGGATCAAACAATCCCAAAAGAACTCATCGATACCCAACCCCTCCGCAGCAGATTTGTTTGCCGCGCTCAACTCGTCGAAACTGTCAAACGAAGTTTCAATTGCTGCCGTTCCGGGGCTATTCCAGGTGCTTTCGTTGAATCCGAGAGTAGTGGCGTGCGTCTGTTCTACTGCAGACAAAGCTTCCCAAACAGTCAGGCGAGTCAGAGGAAGAGACCATGGAAATATACCGGGGCGTTCCTCCCAGGTCTGGTTGCCCACACTAGTAGGGCGATTCACCCCGGCACCAGCCGGCTGGTTCTCCCAGTCGGCAATGTCAACGTCACCGGCCCATAACTCAGGGAAGTAACACAATGCCTCGGCTGCCAACTTCTCCTTGTCAGTGAGCTGAAACCATTCCATATCGTCACTCTCAGGAGGATCATCGTCTTCGAACGAATGGCGATTCCATCCCAGATCTTCAAAGTACGTAGCCACGGCAACCTCTTCCAATTCCTCCCAGAAGTAGTCCTAATAAAGAAGCATTGTAGATGAGAGGGCTTTATCGATAGGTTCAAGCTCGGGTTCTTCAGTCGTCAGCTGACAAATCTTTACCTGATAGTGATTGACCCAGCAGTCCCAAACCTGTTCCTCAGTAAAGTTGAGATCATTCATAATGACCCCGACTGCAGTCTCGTCAAACTGCTTCTCGACATCTTCTCCAAGCCCCGCCTCCAGCGTAATGGTTTCAAACGACAGCTCTTCGATCTTGTTCTCGCCAGGACGGTTCCATGACTTTTCATCGTCTATTTGTTGGAAGATTTGAGTGAGTGACTCATGAAACGAATCAAAACAATCGCGCTGTTACTCACAATCCAGAATGTCCGAAGCAGCCATCTGAGTAGCGTCGCCCAACGAGGCCCAATCTTGGAACCGGCTCAAGGGATACGGAGGTAGAACTCGGAGGGATCTCACCGACCTCAACAAAGCACCACCACCAGCCTTGGTTCCTCCACAACAAGGCATCATCAGGATGGCAAGACTAGCCAAAAAACAATTGCAAATCCACATGGCCGTTTATTAAGGAAGTCGACGAAACAAATGAGAGAGGAGAGATTGAGAAAACCCCATGCCGGATCATTGTTTCGTCTGGAGAGACAGTCAGCCCCAGTTTTACTTCTTGCGAGACGCGTGTATCCTGTCACAGGAAGGAAGTATGCCGCGTGGTTGCTGTCCCAGTATTAAAGTGTTCATTATGTGCCTCTTGTGCTTCACCACAACGAGACTTGGGAAGCCGTCAACACACGTGCGATAACCATAAGAACACTGATCCCGCATCCAACAACCTCACTGTGGCACGAGCTTCCCTCCTTGGAAATGTGTCCCGCGCGCATGGCCAGCAGTACCTGAAACCGTACGAGAGTAAGTCACTCAAACAAGCAAGCAAACAAAAGCTGAAAGAGGTCAGAGTGGACCACAGCACCAAGTATCATAAGGTACCGTATAGAGGTGGGAATGGACGCCAGAGGATAGGTGCAAGGTGCAAGGGCAAGGGCGCGAGACCGGACAGCCAAGAGAGCAGACCAACTGGGTTTAGAGTAGGGAAGTTATTCAGAAGCCAGCCAGGGCCAGGTTTAGGCAAAGAAGAGGTGAAATTCGGGAGTGGGTTTGGTGAGATCATTGATTGGTCATCGAACGGAAGAAGTTCGCTGTCGCTGTTACTAGCATATCAGGTATCCAAACAAGAGGAGCCTGACATGGTGGAGCATTCTTCAAAAGGAGTTGCCGCTGTCCCAGAGCATCTTGACAGTGTAAAGGTACTGGTCCCGATACCCTCCCCGTTTTAGAAAACTAAAGATACCCCCCTTACCGTACGGTAGAAAAGAGAATACTAGTACAGTATCGCTACATGTAATTTATTTGACATACAGTCAACATTCAGATATATATACTGGGGGGGATTCAGGAATTCAGTAAATATAACAGCGAGAATAAATATTGATTTTATCCCTAACCCTAACTATTCCCGTAGAATTGTACGTGCTCTAGTACTAAAATAGGGTTAGAGTTAAACATGTGGGAACTGGAGTATTCTTAAATATTATAGAGCGAATAAATACAAGATTATAAATATAAGCGAGCGTTGACTGTACGATACGGTACAAGTTTAAAAAGTGGCCCAACATTACGTCGGTTGAGTTTGGGGTTTGGGGATTGGGGATGAGGAAAGCAATTGTCCTCTAAGGCTTTTCAAGTATTGTATGCTTTAAAAATATTTTCTTGCTTGCTAGCTACCGGTAGGTCGCGACAAGAACTTCATCCTCATCTTAGCTCTCTCTAACCCATAGTAACTTTCCCCATTTTTATTGGCAGTGACGTGTTCTTTGTTGACTTTTTGTTGTGGTCGTTGGTTTCGCTTACCTCAACCGATCGGATTGAATATTTGGGTCTACTAGTATGCTGAGAGCGACCATGATGTAGCATGTCATCCTTTTCATGCGATAGTACATTGAGCACTCTTTAAAAAACGATTTTGGGGTGCAAAACGGATGCCGTCCATCCATCCACCGCACAAGTTACCACCGCAGCTTCGATTTGGGTTGATCCTCAGACAAACAACATCACCACCACCGCTGTAGTAACGATTCCCACGCATAGCCCATGTTCTCTAACCACATAGCAACCCGATTTAATCAACTACACTCATGTGGATGGGAAATGGCAGATTGTCAACTTTTTGGTTGGGTTTCTTGATTATACTTTCGTGTATGGGAGGCTCTTCTGATTCTTGTGGTTGTCCTGGAGTTGCTGCTGCTGAAAGCAATCCAGGACAAAACATCACGTTTGTGAATGAGGAGTCAAGGAAGAGAATTAGAGGGGCTCGCACTCGAACCATTGGCCATAGAAAGCAGCCTGAGGCAATGCACAATGGCCAGAACCATCCACAGAATAGACAAAAGCAGCAAGATGGATCACAAGACCCTACCACTGGCAATGCCACATATACCAGTGGTACCCATGAAGGTTCCACCATATCCAGTAGACGATCACAAACAAAACGACCAAGGCTGCGTCGATTTCTTCTGAGAAGTGGGGGGCAGAAGGAATTCAAGGAAAGCTACAAAAGCAAAAACCTTTTTGCTAGGGAAGAGAAGCCAAAAGCACATGCAGACACAGGCATCAAAGCCACAAATTACACCATGTGGGAGTCCAACGCAACTTCTGAGATTGCACGCAAGGAGAGCAAGGGTCTCGTTGCGGCAGGGGGGTCTTCAGTTGCTTTTGGGGCCATAGGAGCAGCAGTTGGTGCTGGTGGATTGGCTGGTATCCTGTGTCTTACTGGTACCATCTGCCCACCTGCTGGAGAAGAAGCTCAGACCACAGCCACTGGGAACTTCATAGTAGCTGGTCTTTCTAGGTTTCCCAATGCAACTGAGATAGATGAGCTGTTTGAACAACTACGGGAATATTGGGAATTGCAGATTGCCCTCGCTTTTGGAGGTCTTGGCAGACAAGAAGAAATTGAAACAGATGCTGTTAGATTTACTGGGTTGTCTGTTGCGGTAATGCGTTCCGAAGCCTTTCAAGTATCAGCTCCACCATCCACATCGGGGTTGCTTGGCGAAACAAATAACGCGCCTTCTTGTTCCGTTGACACTGAATATGAAGGCACTGCAAATTTTCTTAATGCCAACAGACGTGGTCGATCTCTCCAGCAAGTGGACAACCGGCTGGTTGACTACGCCATCCAATTTGCAAACTACACCACCTTTTTTGCAGACTATGCGCCAAACCTGCCCACAACAAATGTGTTCAGAACTTCCAATATATCAGCACCAGCAATTACAGCCATTAGTACTACAACTCCAGCACCATCCACTACTCCATCATTTGCACCTTCCAAAAATCCATCTTCAACACCATCCATTACACCAAGCTCCATACCTTCATTTGTACCCTCCAAAAATCCTTCATCAGTACCATCCATTACACCAAGCTCCATCCCATCCGAGACACCTTCATCTGTTCCCTCAACACTCCCATCTATAGTCCCATCCTCCATTCCTTCTTCAGTGCCATCATCCATTCCAAGCACCATCCCATCTGAGACACCTTCATCTCTTCCCTCAACACTCCCATCTATAGTGCCATCCTCCATTCCTTCTTCAGTGCCATCATCCCATCCAAGCTACATTCCATCTAGAATACCTTCATCTGTTCCTTCTTCAGTGCCATCATCCAATCAAGCACCATCCCATCTAGAATACCTTCATCTGTTCCTTCTTCAGTGCCAATCATCCAATCCAAGCACGATCCCATCTGGGACTCCTTCATTACTTCCTTCCATAGAGACATCATCCAATCCAAGTTCCATCCCATCTAGCATGGCACTTCCTTCTATAGCCACATCATCCCATCCAAGCAACATCCCATCTACAATACCTTCGTCTCTTCCTTCTTCAGTGCCATCATCCATTCCAAGCAAGGAACCATCTAAAATTCCTTCATCTCTTCCTTCTTCAGTCCCATCATCCATTCCAAGCAAGGAACCATCTAAAATACCTTCATCAATTCCTTCTTCAGTCCCATCATCCATTCCAAGCAAGGAACCATCTAAAATACCTTCATCTCTTCCTTCTTCAGTCCCATCATCCATTCCAAGCAAGGTACCATCTAAAATACCTTCATCTCTTCCTTCTTCAGTCCCATCATCCATTCCAAGCAAGGAACCATCTACACATACCTTCATCTCTTCCTTCTTCAGTCCCATCATCCATTCCAAGCAAGGAACCATCTAACATACCTTCATCTCTTCCTTCTTCAGTCCCATCATCCAATCCAAGCAAGGAACCATCTAACATACCTTCATTAATTCCTTCTTTAGAGATATTATCCAATCCCAGCTCCATCCCATCCCGACCACCTTCACTCGTTCCTTCTTCACTCCCATCATCCAATCCAAGCTCCTCCCCATCCCTGATACCTTCATTAATTCCTTCTATAGAGACATCATCCAATCCAGCTCCGTCCCATCCCGACCACCTTCACTCTTCCTTCTTCACTCCATCTCCAATCCAAGCAACCCCCATCTAAATACCTTCATCAATTCCTTCGATAGCCACATCATTCAATCCAAGCAATGCCCCATCTAAAATACCTCATCAATTCCTTCTTCGGTCCATCATCCAATCCAAGCTCCGTCCCATCCACAACACCTTCATCTCTTCCTTCAGGTAGCCCTAGTGTCAGTTTGAATCCAAGCTCCAGACTTCGATTGTTTCGGGCACTAGTGATTCTCCCAGCACCCAACCAAGCTCCGTCCCATCCACAACACCTTCATCTCTTCCTTCAGGTAGCCCTAGCCTCAGTTTGAATCCAAGCTCCAGACCTTCCATTGTTTCGGGCACTAGTGATTCTCCCAGTACCCAACCAAGCTCCGTCCCATCACAACACCTTCATCTCTTCCTTCAGGTAGCCCTAGCCTCAGTTTGAATCCAAGCTCCAGACCTTCCATTGTTTCGGGCACTAGTGATTCTCCCAGCACCCAACCAAGCTCCGTCCCATCCACAACACCTTCATCTCTTCCTTCAGGTAGCCCTAGCCTCAGTTTGAATCCAAGCTCCAGACCTTCCATTGTTTCAGGCACTAGTGATTCTCCCAGCACTCAACCAAGCTTCAGCAATCAGCCTTCCATTATGCCTAGCCTCAGTTTGAAACCAAGCTTGAGCAATCAGCCTTCCATTAGCCCAAGCAGCAGTTCACAACCAAGCATTAGTTCGAAACCAAGCCTGAGCAGTCCGCCTACCGCCGTCCCTAGCAGCAGTCTGCAACCAAGCTTCAGCAAGCAGCCTACCAATAGCCCTAGCAGCAGTTTGAATCCAAGCGTGAGCTCCATTCCATCTGGGACACCTTCATTCTTTCCCTCAACACTCCCATCTACGGTGCCTTCCTCGCCGCCATCCTCAGCTTTTGGCAGCACACCGTTAGTATTGCAATCTGCCGGCTCTTCTCTGACCAGCAACAACGAATCCAGCGAAAGTTTTGAGCCTCCCACCAGTGTTGCTAGTAGTACCGGTAGCAGCACTATTATCCGGCCGCTTGTGATTTTCCAACCTCCCACAGCAGGCGCAAGCACAACAGATGGAGCGCTCCAGCAAGGGTTCCAACAGGGCAGTTCCGCTGTGGAAGAAGAGGACGAGGAACAATGGACCTTTGATGATGATGATGCTATTTTGGAACATGAGGTCGACGCATCACTTCAGTTTGAACAAGACAGCACTACCAGTGAGGAGGTTGGGAACGTATTCGAGCATAGGAAGCGTGGTGAATCATGAATCATTTGCTTCTATCTCGATCGGTGGACCCCGCAACAAGTTCAAGCCTTAATTTGGGCGTGGCTCATATTGGTCGCTCCCCAGTAGGTAGTTTCTTGCTTGTCGCCCCCTGCCTGGCTGATTATCCCATGGAACCTATACGGTAAGACCATCCCGGCCTGCGGCTGGTACTGTGGGTTTTGAAAAGGAACATTCCGAGTTCAATTCAGATCTGTTGATGGCTTTAGCTGGTACCCTCCAAGCCCAATGGCACCATCTTCGATCGCCGGCGATCGCCGCCTTCACAAATAATGTGGGTGCCAGTAAATTAGATCACTCCCCTTGCTTCTGCTACTGCCTCCAAAACTCAATTTTCCTACTCTCAAATGATGTTCTTCATGCAGACCCGTATCTCCATTGCCCTTGTGAAAGCTACCCATTTATGTCTCCGTGGATCCCGCAAAGCCAAACCCTTTGCCCCCCGTAATGGTCCTCAATTTCTTGCCCCTGATCCCACAGAACCTAGTCCTGAATTTCGACTGTTCTTTGCTTAAGCCTGGCCCTGGCTGGCTTCCGTAGATAATTTCCCTACTCTAAAACCCCCCTGATCACTCCCCTAAATCTTTAGAAACCGCCGACCCCTTTTCCATCTCGAATATCATTAGGGATAACGTTTCATGTTTAGGGCGCCTCCACGTGGATGAAAGCCGATGCCAAGCCAAGATCCAACATTTTTTTTGACAACTGTTGCCAAGAGTTAGTTGTGCTGTTGCCGATAGAAAGCAGATTGGATGCTGGAACCAAAGTCTCTTTTGTAGAAGATAGATAGATGATGATGAATGGCAGCGGTGGCATGTCGTTGCGTCTGTGGAGTTTTCAGCGCTTGTTCAAGCTGGTCTTGCCGCTGTCGTTTCTTCTGAGCCATCGACCCACTTGTGCCGCGTCTTGGTTCCAGTTTTGGACGGTTCCAGCTGTCAGTTTCAGCAATAGAAGACGAGCTTTTCTGTTTGGAAACAACAACAACTTGGTGGAAAACAACTTTGTGGAAAACAACAAGCATACCAGAATACTCCAAGATGGTTTGATTGGCTCAAAAAGTACAAACAAAAATGCCATGGTTGTGGTCGACCTGTGCAGTCCTTGGCTATGTCTTCGAGGAGGAGGAGCCGATGACAGGGAGGATGTTAGTAGTCGTCGCCATCACGGCAGCGCTCGTCGCCGCTCCAAGAAAAGCAGCCGACACCACAAGCAGCATCATCATCATCGACCCAAATCATCCAAGCGACGGCGACGAAAGAGTCGACAGGATGAAATGGCAGAGGATGGTTCAGACAGCAGTGACATCAGCAGTAGACCATCCAAGAAATCCAAAAGAAAGAAACGAAAGAGACGTTCAGCAACAACAAAGGACACAGTTGCGACCAGAAGACCTGCCTTTGTGGCACGTGATAGAGAACCAGCAGCTGCCGATCCACCATCCCTTAGACCCAAAGGCGTCAAGGGTGTGCGCCCTCGCAATAGTAGTTTTGTCAGAGAAACCACAGGCACAGTCCAGGCTGCTCTCGGCAAGAAACGAAAAAAGAAAAAGAAGAGAAAGCAGCACTCTAGTAGCAAACAAAAGGGAGCTCGAAAAGCAGCTTTCGTCAATCAGGACGATTACGACGACGACGACGACGTCACCAGAGACAGTGCTGCCTCCATCCATGAGAGTCCATCGGTTGTCAGTGGTACTGACGAGGATGAGGATGATATTGATGATGGAACTAGTAAAAGTGCTAGTCGGAAGAAACGGAAAAAGAGGCGAAAGAAAAAGGCACGAGGAAGCAAGAAGGCAGGGCTGTCGTCCATTGCCCCCAAGACCAGGATGGATACAGTGCCCGAGAAGTCGCCTGTATTAGAAGCTTCTTCAGAGCCACCCAAGTCGCACAAACTTGGCTTCAAACAGGAAGTCACATCGACCGAGAAATGTCCTACAGAGCTGCCACCCAAGAAGTCACACAAACTTGGCAGCAAAAAGAGAAAGAAGACCAAGAAGAAGAAACGGAAGAAGCAAAAGATTAGCCCCGATGTGGTCTTGGCCACGACGACAACTACGGCAACAGTACCGTCTCTGGTGGATGAAAGTACCTCTGGAGATGACACAGTAAATACGCAAGTGGCTGCTTTGCCAGAAGAAAAAGAAGTGCCACCCCAACCTAAAGTTGACAGTAGTGGGGTGGAGGATGGCAGTGAAGAAGAAGATGATGATGAAGGTTCCGTTGTCTTGGAAACCCCAACCAGCAAGGTTGACGCCAACATCACGTCAGCAAGAGATATGGAAGAGCAGGAGGAATCGACAAAACCCACCGGCAAGTTGGAGACAGAGGAACCCCCGGCAAAGTCAACCTCTCCACCACAGACGACAACAACGGACACTGCAGATGATAACTCTGAAATTCAAAGTGACACTAATGACAAGGAGGGCATTGCTGCCATCAACTCTCAAGCAGATCCATCATCACCTGCTCGTCAGAAAGGATTGCCAACCAAAGAAGAAGAAAGTGACCAAGCCATAGTGGACGCTGATGACGAGAGCGTCGATGATGATGATGACGACGAGGAGGAGGACACCGAGGAGGACAGCACTGTGGACGCCGGCAATGAGAAACTAAAGTCTGTGGAGGATTCAGGGGCAGAGGACGAAGACGAAATTGGCGATAGTGAAGAAGACGGTAACAACGAAATTGACGCGGCAAGTGACGTGAAACAAGAAGAAGCGTCCACCACCAAAGCCATCATCGATGAAGAGGACGAGGATCTTGATATTCCAATCAAGGTGGATGGAGTGGATGTGACAATTCATATCAATCGCGAGAAAGTATCTGTGCATCTGGATTCCACCGACGACGCTGTTTCTACTCCCGCTGAAGAGGATCAGAGCAAAGGTGACACAACAGAGAACGTTCCAGATCGCACGATACCAAATGTCGAGGTTGGTAGTACCAATGAAACTTCCCCAGAAACCAAAGTTGGTAATGATGACTTGACCAATACCACCAAGGTTGTAGGCGAGCAATCGGCCGTGACCAAACCAAACGACAATAGTGTAGCCGGGGAGACGCCAAGAAACAAGACGGTTTCTCAAAAAGACACATTCGCAGGACACTCCGCTGAGAAGAGTGATGGTGAACAACCAAAGACTGATCGCGTGGGCACGGATGAAAAATTGCCCCGAGCATCAACAACGAATCAATTAGGAAATAGTGCAAACGTTGTTGACAGCGACAGCGACGACGAAGAGGAAGACACCGATGAGGATGACGATGACGACGACGACACTGATGAGGACGACACGGATGATACAGATGATGATGCTAACGGTAGGGACGTGCGCGAGAATACACGGACGAGCTCTAACCTAAACTTCAAAGGTGGGGCAGTCGAGGAGTCCAAGCCGGGTCTCTCGGAGGCGTCACAAGATGCAGATGAATCTTCTCAAACGGCAGCTGTTGCGGGGACCAAAGACCTCTCTTCGATTCTCGATTGTCCAGCTAGTGACAGTGACATGAACGTTTCCATTGTGACGTGGAATTTGGCTGAATCCTCACCATCAGAGGACGAGGCTACTTTCATTCGTCGGTTCCGTGGGAGCGACTTGGTGCTCGTTTCCGGACAAGAGTGTGAAAACATCAAACCGCGAAGATCGGAAGGCCACAGATCTAGGGAATTCCGGCGCCTCATGATCAAAATGCTGGGCAAAAAGTATGTTCCGCTTGGTCTCCATTTGCTCGGGGGCATTCAATTTGGGCTCTTCTGCAAGCGATCCATCTTGAAAAAGATTGAGTTCGTGAGCATTGCGGATGTGACATGCGGGATTGGCAATGTTTTCCACAACAAGGGAGCCATTGGAGCCTTCGTTCAAGTCAAGGCATCAAAAGCCGGTAACGGAGCCAAAGATGCCGTGAAGAGAGCCAAGTCGCTGAAGATGCTATTCGTGACAGCTCATATGGCCGCCCATGTAAAAAACGCGGAAGCACGAAATGCGGACTTTTGGAGAATAGTTCAAGAGCTCGAAGCCCAGGCACCGCCACGCTTCTTGACTCCAAACGATGAAGCTGAAAACGAATACAGCAGCGGGAAACTTGGTGGTAGCGGCTCCTACCTCTTGGATTCTATGGATCGAGTGTTCTTTTGCGGTGACCTAAACTACCGGATAAACTTGCCACGTGAAGAAGCGGAGCACACTGTGGAACAAATGAAGAGCAACCCGAAGGAAGCCGACAAGTTAAGGGAACGTTTGCTACGGCACGATCAGCTTTTGGCCACGATGGCTGAGTGTAATGCCTTCGCGGGGCTTTGTGAAGGTAAGATCACATTCCTACCGACTTTCAAGTTTGACAAGGGGACAGATGAGTATGATACGTCCCACAAACAAAGGATTCCTGCATGGACGGACAGAGTGGTGTTCAAGCCAACTGGCACACGAATTGTCGAATACGATTCGGCCCCAGAGGCCATGCACTCGGACCACCGGCCTGTGTTTGCGTCTTTCCGGGTTAGCACCGTCGGTTCAGTACTTTCAAAACCCCCAAAGCGGAAGAGGAGACCTCGACGGGATCCATAACTGTACAAACTGTTAGTTCTACGGTATTCTTTTTGTATGCGATGAATTCCAGAAGCTGAGCGGTTAGCTATATACGTAGCGGTATTGTACTTTGATCCCATTGCCCAATGCAGCAGCATACTCTTTGTGAAATGAAGCCACGATGAAGAAAAGGAACACATTCTATTATGTTGGGGCGAGGGGATGCACTTTTTGGCACGCACTCTTCCGGCTTGCCGGTACGGTTCATGTCTTCGCCAGCCAACACGTGTACCGGTACGCTGTCACCTTCAGCTTAAGGCTGAACGACAAATCAAACCTCAGAAAACTGTCTCGTCGTCTTCACTCCTTCAAACTTCACCAAGAGGTTGACCCCTCCCCAAACTTGGGGCTGTTAGGACACGGTACTTTGCTTGGCCGGTCACTGAATCAACCGGAGGAACGATTCTGAGTCCAGTTTTGTTGACAAGGAAAATGCACGAGGTCGCAACACGTACCTGTAGTGGCAAGCTATGATCGGTTCCGCAGAGCAACACATGGAAGCTAGCTTGTCACCATCCACCTTGGCATCAGCGTCTTGTCCAACCTGCGTTCCGTCTTTGAAGCATTTGTCCTTGACATACCACTCTCCCATTTGCTGAAAGAACTCGACTTTTCTTTCTTTGTTGTCGCTCCAACTCATGTGGAAGATGACGGGATCAATCGTTCGGCTCCGTTTTGCTTGCGGGTTGAGAAGAGCATTCATGAACGATGGGTGATAATGAAAATGCATACCACCAGGATAGGAATCAGACGGAAGGATTTTGACACGAAGGCCGTGCAGGGATGCATGATCGCTCATAAGAGAAAGGAAAGGAGCCTGATGCGTTTTTGTAGAAGCAATCAGATCCCCTGACACCAACAGGTGATTGATAAAGTATTGTGACCTCGCGTTGTTTCTCACGTAGTAGAAGCCAGTGTTCCCAGAATACGGAGCATAGAACTCTGCACGAGATCCATCGTGCGACAAGTAGATGTCGTGTTTGAACGTCATGTTCTGGAAGTTTTGAAGCGGGTCATGATACCACACCATGTCAACATCAGCGAACAAGACATCATAACCCAGCATGCTGACAAGCTGAACACAAAAGACCTAACTCAAATAAATGATGATAACGAAGATGAGCAAAGCCCAATTGATTGTTCCCTCGAGCAACTGGATTTACCTTGGAGATGATTGTATCAGCATATACACTGTCCCCGAACGAACTAGCATGTTGTCGAGGAACGTGTTTGAAAAGCTGTTGGCCCGTGAGAAGACATACTCTGGGGTGCTCTGGTTCATGCGCGAAAGCTCAAGACCGGAATCGACCATACGCGGGAACTCACCTTCTCATTGTAGTAAGCAGCCAACCCCAAACCCTCAGCATAACTTGCCGTCTCTGCGTCTGTTGCAAAGACAATAACACCAGAAAGATCCAAACCACGAGCCCTGGCACTGCACACCAAGTTGGCCAGCAGTGGGGCCTGTCCAAGGTTGCATGTCATGACAATCACTGCCTTGCACAACGCGGCCTTCTTGACAAGTGGCTCCAGCTCTTTCAAGTACACGTCAAGATTTGTCAAGTATTGCTGCAACGTTTGATTCCAATACCGTCGAGTTTCATGAACCGTGGGCGTTTTCGTGGTAAAAGAAAAGACCGGATCTGCTCCTCGCCGCACTAACTCGAGCGGGGCTGTTGGATCAATCGGAGCAACAACTCCTCGACGCTGCTGAGCTGTGGTTTTTGGTTCGCCCCCTCGCATGAATCTGTGGATGTGATAGGAGTTGTATTGGCCCATAATGGCAATGCACTGGTTTTTTCGATTGGGTTGGGTCAATACAACGTTCACGTAGTTGCAGTTTTTCACGGCATCTTGGACGTTTTCAATGACGGGAATCATACTCGAAGCATTTCTTTGTGGTGGCCAGGCCTGCTTGCCATGCAACAATAGCACTTTAGAGTTTGTCTTGCTAGAATAATCCAGAGGAACTCCCGCATCAAAGAGCCGTGCAAATTCATCGCGATCTACCAGGCTCATTGCGGACACAAAAGATTTTGTCTCGCGGGGAAACAAGGAAGATTGATCCTTCCACGACGACGAATGTGCCTCTTTGGTCAATGGGAGGTTTCTCGTGCTGGTTGACTGTTCTGATTGCTCTGTCGCGATACTTGATCGTGTTTCTCCCTTGTTTCGAAGCTTCGAAAACAACTCGAGCCTCCTCTTAATCATCGCTTGGACCTCTTGCTCCGTGTACAGCTTTGTCGAAGATGATTCCAGTGTTTCCATACCATCGTCGTCTTCGTTTGTCGTATTTAGAGCAAACGGGAGGTGATGAATCATGTCATACGGCAATGACGTTGACATGAGATATCGGGGTGACTGGCTCAAAGCATACTGGTTCCCAACATAGAAGCCGGCGTAAAACGCAGCGAGAAGCGAGAGACAGCTCTTGATTCGGATCGGACGGTGCTTCATGGGATGCGAGGTGGGGGTAGGAAATGTATTCAATGCAGTGATTTGCATTCAGAGGAGAAGATTGGAGGATTGAATGCCGACCCTCGCTTCGGGCAAATCTTTGAATGAATCGAATCCGGGCTTGGCCAAAAAGGGGTGCGCCATGGAAAAAACGGTGAGAGTGGACAAGCGCTCAGTCCCGTGACCGTTGGACCGAAGACCGAGGAGGGAACTCGTGGCTCGCAGTCGCCGTGGAAAGGGGGTTATTGCTCAAGATTGGAGGTAACTTCCACCATGGCCTCGTGCTCGTGGGAACTGGGAACGAAGGCAGAAAAAGAAAAACAGCCAAACAGGAGAGATAGATGGGGTCTAGAGTATTGGATTAATTGCGCCAGTGCTCAACACTCCCCCAAAATGATTTCCTTCAAGAGAGGTTGACTCCAGCTAGTAGGTACCGGTAGCTAGCTAGCCATCCTCGTGATTAAATATGTTCGCATTGTTGGTCCTCGCTTTTGAGTCAGCCTCATGTATAAATATGTTCGCCTTGTTGGTCCTCAATTTGTCAACCCTGATCCCAGTCCCAAATTCCACCTCATCTTTGCCCAGGACAGAGTTTTCCACTCTTTCATCTTCCGAAAACTCCCAAAGCTCATCCACATCAGCACTGACTGGGGCTTCCTCAGTTTGTTCATCTGAGAAATGGAAATGTGTCTCTCTTTCCTCTGAATCTGAGTCAGGGTTCTCCACAACTGAGCTTTCCACAACATCATCTGCGGAGAACAACTCCCAGAGATCTTCAAAGTCTGCTTTGACTGGGGAATCCCCCATTTGCTCTACTGAAGAAGACCCCCCTACAACCTCTGAACTTGCACCAGCTGGAGTATCCAAAATCTCACCTGGTGACGAAAAGTCCCAAAATTTGTTTTCATGGCTGTCATCCATATTGATAGCAGTATTTACTGGTGAAGATGAAGCAGATAGCAGTGACAATAAAGTAGCAACAACTGGATTGGCCGAAGGAACAATGGAAGGCCTGGAGCTCAAGCTGGTTTCGAGCTGCTGCTAGGGACACGGTAGGCTGACTGCTAAGGCTTGGTTGGGAGCTGCCGGTGGGGCCGCCTGAAGGCCGAATGCTCTCACTGGGTTGGGCGCTGGGGGAGCCACTCGTGCCAGGAACAATGGAAGGCCTGGAGCTCAAGCTTGGTTTCGAGCTGCTGCTAGGGACACCGGTAGGCTGACTGCTAAGGCTTGGTTGGGAGCTGCCGGTGGGGCCGCCTGAAGGCCGAATGCTCTCACTGGGTTGGGCGCTGGGGGAGCCACTCGTGCCAGGAACAATGGAAGGCCTGGAGCTCAAGCTTGGTTTCGAGCTGCTGCTAGGGACACCGGTAGGCTGACTGCTAAGGCTTGGTTGGGAGCTGCCGGTGGGGCCGCCTGAAGGCCGAATGCTCTCACTGGGTTGGGCGCTGGGGGAGCCACTCGTGCCAGGAACAATGGAAGGCCTGGAGCTCAAGCTTGGTTTCGAGCTGCTGCTAGGGACACCGGTAGGCTGACTGCTAAGGCTTGGTTGGGAGCTGCCGGTGGGGCCCCCTGAAGGCCGAATGCTCTCACTGGGTTGGGCGCTGGGGGAGCCACTCGTGCCAGGAACAATGGAAGGCCTGGAGCTCAAGCTTGGTTTCGAGCTGCTGCTAGGGACACCGGTAGGCTGACTGCTAAGGCTTGGTTGGGAGCTGCCGGTGGGGCCCCCTGAAGGCCGAATGCTCTCACTGGGTTGGGCGCTGGGGGAGCCACTCGTGCCAGGAACAATGGAAGGCCTGGAGTCAAGCTTGGTTTCGAGCTGCTGCTAGGGACACCGGTGGCTGACTGCTAAGGCTTGGTTGGGAGCTGCCGGTGGGGCCGCCTGAAGGCCGAATGCTCTCACTGGGTTGGGCGCTGGGGGAGCCACTCGTGCCAGGAACAATGGAAGGCCTGGAGCTCAAGCTTGGTTTCGAGCTGCTGCTAGGGACACCGGTAGCTGACTGCTAAGGCTTGTTGGGAGCTGCCGGTGGGCCGCCTGAAGGCCGAATGCTCTCACTGGGTTGGGCGCTGGGGAGCCACTCGTGCCAGGAACAATGAAGGCCTGGAGCTCAAGCTTGGTTTCGAGCTCTGCTGGGACACCGGTAGGCTGACTGCTAAGCTTGGTTGGGAGCTGCCGGTGGGGCCCCCTGAAGGCCGAATGCTCTCACTGGTTGGGCGCTGGGGGAGCCACTCGTGCCAGGAACATGGAAGGCCTGGAGCTCAGCTTGGTTTCGAGCTGCCTGGGGACACCGGTAGGCTGACTGCTAAGGCTTGGTTGGGAGCTGCCGGTGGGCCGCCTGAAGGCCGAATGTCTCACTGGGTTGGGCGCTGGGGAGCCACTCGTGCCAGAACAATGGAAGGCCTGGAGCTAAGCTTGGTTTCGAGCTGCTGCTGGGACACCGGTAGGCTGACTGCTAAGGCTTGGTTGGGAGCTGCCGGTGGGCCGCCTGAAGGCCGAATGCTCTCACTGGGTTGGGCGCTGGGGGAGCCACTCGTGCCAGGAACAATGGAAGGCCTGGAGCTCAAGCTTGGTTTCGAGCTGCTGCTGGGACACCGGTAGGCTGACTGCTAAGCTTGGTTGGGAGCTGCCGGTGGGGCCGCCTGAAGGCGAATGCTCTCACTGGGTTGGGCGCTGGGGGAGCCACTCGTGCCAGGAAAAATGGAAGGCCTGGAGCTCAAGCTTGGTTCGAGCTGCTGCTGGGACACCGGTGGCTGACTGCTAAGGCTTGGTTGGGAGCTGCCGGTGGGCCGCCTGAAGGCCGAATGCTCTCACTGGGTTGGGCCTGGGGGAGCCACTCGTGCAGGAACAATGGAAGGCTGGAGCTCAAGCTTGGTTTCGGCTGCTGCTGGGACACCGTAGGCTGACTGCTAAGGCTTGGTTGGGAGCTGCCGTGGGGCCGCCTGAAGGCCGAATGCTCTCACTGGGTTGGGCGCTGGGGGAGCCACTCGTGCCAGGAACAATGGAAGGCCTGGAGCTCAAGTTGGTTTCGAGCTGCTGCTGGGGACACCGGTAGGCTGACTGCTAAGGCTTGGTTGGGAGCTGCGGTGGGGCCGCCTGAAGGCGAATGCTCTCACTGGGTTGGGCGCTGGGGAGCCACTCGTGCCAGAACAATGGAAGGCCTGGAGCTCAAGCTTGGTTTCGAGCTGCTGCTGGGGACACCGGTAGGCTGACTGCTAAGGCTTGGTTGGAGCTGCCGGTGGGGCCGCCTGAAGGCCGAATGCTCTCACTGGGTTGGGCGCTGGGGGCCACTCGTGCCAGGAACAATGGAAGCCTGGAGCTCAAGCTTGGTTTCGAGCTGCTGCTGGGGACACCGGTAGGCTGACTGCTAAGGCTTGGTTGGGAGCTGCCGGTGGGGCCGCCTGAAGGCCGAATGCTCTCACTGGGTGGGCGCTGGGGAGCCACTCGTGCCAGAACAATGGAAGGCCTGAGCTCAAGCTTGGTTTCGAGCTGCTGCTGGGGACACCGGTAGGCGACTGCTAAGGCTTGGTTTGGAGCTGCCGGTGGGGCCGCCTGAAGGCCGATGCTCTCACTGGGTTGGGCGCTGGGGAGCCACTCGTGCCAGGAACAATGGAAGGCCTGGAGCTAAGCTTGGTTTCGAGCTGTGCTGGGGACACCGGTAGGCTGACTGCTAAGGCTGGTTGGGAGCTGCCGGTGGGGCCGCCGAAGGCCGAATGCTCTCATGGGTTGGGCGCTGGGGGAGCCACCCGTGCCAGGAACAATGGAAGGCCTGGAGCTCAAGCTTGTTTCGAGCTGCTGCTAGGACACCGGTAGGCTGACTGTAAGGCTTGGTTGGGATCATCTCTCTTCTTTTC